CACTCATTAAAATTCGAGTATAGATGCAAATTGGTGAAACAACATCTAGTCGCTGTTAATCTTTTAGTTTTGGAGGACAGACTATTTCTAAGAAATTTTATACATGTTACAAAATTTAATTTCAATTTATTTACAGCAACGGCATTGAAAATAAATTATGTGTATATTGGTCACACACACTGTAGACCAATAACAGAATACAACTTTATATATTATATACAAACCGCAGGAGACTAAATTTTAAATAAATTAAAAAATAAAGTTATGTTAGGATAGCTGTCTTGAAAGTCTGTTCAAAGTATTGGAGGCAGCCAGGCAAATTATACTGTATCTTAATTGGACTTAGCCTATTATCATGAATATTGGCATAAGAACACGTACATATGCACTAACGAAATTTAATTGGGGACAAAGTAGGTATTATAGGTGGACAAGTAATTGTTATTTAAGCTAAGCATAGAGAGAGAAAGAGAGATATGAGATATGGATATGAAGTAAAAGATTAGAGTAGAACATAAAATACGAAGACGGCTCTTGTTAAGCAATGTTCTATTTGTGACAGCTTCTAATTTTATTTCACACAGAATTCCAATGCAATATTTTGAGAAATGCATTCCTCGAATGATTTATAGCAAATAGAATTAAATAAACAATTAAACGGTCTGCCTTCGAATGCTTCAGATGATTAACGATTAGATGGTCCAGATAATCGCAATAGCTAAAAGTGACAAATTTTGCCAGCTTTGCTCTTGAAAGTGGACCACTGTAAGGCATGGCGAGCGAATAGGATGTACGGCATTGCACATACGCAGCCTTAACCAGCCTCTGCTGGTGTTGCTGTTGTTGTTGTTGTTATTGTTGGACTAGTAAGGCCTTGTTTCACTTGTTCGCTTGTTTTGGGTTTATTTTTTCAGCTTTGGCCCTTTTTTGGGCACACACAGAAACTTGGACTCGCAATTAAAAACTGGGCAGCATTCTCACATGTAATCCGCTTAATAAGGAGCTTCTGGGTCTTTGGCAGCGGCAACTGGAACTGCAGTATCAAGTGCACCCAAAAAGTGTTCATGCGTGAGGCTTACTTACACACTCGTTCACACACACACATACACGTACATTCACGTTATACACGCACATTTACACATTCACACAAGGTGCGCCATTTTGAACAGCCCTCCGGGCTACAAATTGTACGAGTATGAGTGCGAGTGTGAGTGTGTTAACTGAAGCCAGACAAAGTGCACGGCTCAAAGTTGAGAGCCTTGCTAAGTTATTGCCTAAGCATTCCTCTCTATGGCCGCCAGTTATTTGTTAAAGCTTGCCTCATTTGGGGCCTTCAAATGCATTAAAGTCGCTCCGTTCCGTTCCATTTCCAGTCCTACTACCATTCCCATTCCCATTCCCATGCCCTGGTAATCTCAGCGATTCATCTTGATTTCATTGTCTGTTGTCTGCATGCCAAAAATATCAACCACATGGGCGGTAAACTTATGTGGCCACCAGCTCGGACTGCCACCTGGGCGAGCATGTTGACCAACAAGACCAAAGATTGCGCTTTGGCCAAAACACAAATCGCAAATCGCATGCAAACGAGCTTATCTGCAGACACATTGCTGCATAATTCCAACTGAGCGCGCAAAGACAAATGTTAATTTAAAATGAAATACTTTGAACTATTCAACCTGTCCAAATATTTTATCATCAAATACACGGCCACGCTTATGAGTGGCCTCCAACTCGACTGCACTCCCCTCCCATCCGCCAGCACTCCAACACAGAGCTTGACAATATGCCAGGCACAAGGAGGCTAAGCGACGGCAACTGTGGTCAGGACACAAGCTAAACCACAAGCTGTCTGTCCGCCTCCTCAACTGCCTTGGTGAATGCAGCGCTGCAGGACATGCTAGGCAAAGTTTTCGTGTGCAGGAAGCTGACGGTCAGGCTAGCTCCTGTCTGTGAATTTGTCTGCCTGTCCGTTCATTCTCTTGTGCCTTGTTCCATGTCCTCTGGCTGCTTGCTTGGCTGGTTGGCTGGTTGGTTTGCTTAGTCGCTTGGTGTTATCAAGCGAGCAGGTCAAGCGCAAAGGTGAGAAATAACAAAATTTCAAATTTTGTTACCGGCTACAATTCCACATACAAGAACGCAAATTCAATTTGATTTGCTGAACTGGATCCGTCGCAGCTCGAAAATGTGTTAACCACAGTGATATTATTTATATTATATACCCTAAAATAATCAGATTGGGTACAACTATTATGAAATGTTTTTGAAAGTCTACTTTTGCTGCGATCAAAAATATATTCGAAAGTATATTTTAAAGCTTTTTACATTTTGACTGGGCTTTGCGAGCTATTTTGGATTGCGACTACCACCACAAGGAACTGCAATTGTAAATTTGGGTCAACTTTCATTTGTGCCATTTTCCTCATTAATTAATTGCAAGTATAACGAGGACAAAAAACATACAAGGTAGAAATAAAGCTGCCTATTTTTATAATTATTCTAGCAAGCTGGCTTGGCAATTTGTTATTGTTGTCGGAATATCCGATTCAGCAGACACGAAAAATACAATAATATTTACAAATATGTGAAAAAACTAAATTCGGCTTTGAATTATTGTATACATTATGTGTAGAATAAATATTATTTTACCAAAATTAAAAAATATATGATAGTCAAAATTGTAGTGAACAAATTGAATTCAACTCACATAACTGGTGAATGAATGCACATTTGCCTGTGTATGTATCTGTGTGCAGAGATTATAGTACATTCCTTTAAAATTGGCTTATCTTGATGAAACCGAAGTAATTGTCAAATTTAATTAAAAAACCGCACGAATTAAATAAAGTCAACACTAGCAGGGGAGTAGGAGGAAGAGGGGAAATTCACTTATATGCGTAGTACCTAAGGGCATCTGGGTGCAAACTAGGCGTGTGTAGCTCTTAAAGTCTCTGAAAAATTGGCTAAAGCGACTCGTCTTGCCATGTTGATCAAAAATATATATACGAGTGGACTTTGTGTGGTATGCCACGCTTCCTGCTACCTACACTTTATATCAAATCACCTATGTATAAGATGTTGAAGAAAAGAAATTCATATGTGAAGAGCGAGCCGCATTCAGTGTAGTTCTGTGGAGATTGTAAAATCTTTTTCAAACTTTGCAAATAGTAGTTCTTGTTCTTTGTTGTCGATAATATCAAATACTATATATGAACCGAGTATAGTACTCTCCATCTTTAAGCTAGTTCGGTCAACCAGAACAACACAGCACCATCGCACACACTTACAAAAAAGTAGCTAGGCTCATAATGGCTTTCAACCTGGCTCCTCTGCTCTCTTTTGCTTGTTCAATGAGAGTCAAATATTTAGTGGCCGGAGTATGTACATAAGAGCATGTACATAGGTGTGTATATAGATAAATATGTGTGTGTGTGTCCGTATGTGCATTGGGCCACAGCTATTTGCTTAGTTTTCTGCTTACTTATGGAACGTTGTCATTTGTATGCATATTCATAGATTTGTGCTCTCTGTCTTGTTGATTTAAATTGAATTCAATTTTCACTGCTGGCTGGCCAAATATTTGAGCATGCAAAACAAGATAAGCATTATTTCAATTATAGAATACATTTGTATGAACTTCGGCCAGAATTATAGAAAAGTAATTGCATTTCAACTTTACTTTAACACCTTTAAAGAAAAAACAAATATTTTTGATTAACGCCGGCAACACTTTGAACGCACACACTTGTTTATTCGCGCCAAAAATTAAGCACAATTAGTGCTAATTCACTGACTTGGAAAATTAATTGTGAGCTGCACTGCGTTTACTGCTGTCCCTATAGCTGTTGTTGTTGTTGTTGTTGTTGTTACTTTTGTTGCTGTTGTGCATTTGGCGCGCTTTTTATGACTCTCTCCGGCAACTAATTAAAATTCATATGACACTTTTGCGCCTTCCATTTGCAGAATTTTTACTCATTATGTGCTCGTTTTTTTAATGCTTGGTAAGCCGCTTAAAAAGGTCACAAATGTCTGGTTGCCGGTAATTGCAAAAACAATCTGAGTGTAAGAGAGAAAGGACCTGTAAATTAGCAGGTGTTGCGAAGAACTGAGAGCCATGTTAGTTAAAGTTGCGGCCTAATAATAGATGTCTAGTGCCTGTTTTGCTTCAAATTACACAGTTTGTTTATTGTACCTAGACGAGCATTTATTTTTGCCGATGTGATTTAATCTTCGTAAATTAATTTGTGTCCACACCATGCAAGGCCGATATCAGATAATGCTTGACCACCCGAAAGGCATATCTATCTAAAAGTAGGGAACCTGTACGCCTCATTTTGAGTGTTAATCGAAACGAGATCTCATGGACTTTAATGTGGCACTATTGCTGATTTGTCAGGTGCTTCCTGAGCCTCCAAACTCTGGGCATCACAATATAATTTTCGACACGTACACATATTCTGATCTCCAAGGCTTCGAGTACGATTATAAATATATTCAGAGAAACAGTTTTGTACACATTGAGTTAATATAGTAGATATACATACTTAGTTCAGTGCAATTATTATTAATTATTACTTAAACTGCTGCAGCTAATGAATAGACTAAGTATATAGCATAGGCAGAATAATTATCATTACATAGCCGAACTAAGCCGAACTATCTAATTTATTGATCACAATATTCTTTATTTTGCAGTACTGTTGTAAAATTAAAACCATTTTAGAATCCTAATTAAGCATATTAAGCCAAAGTTTATTGACTTAACTTTTTATATTTGCACGATTACTCGATTACGTTTCAATAATGAACGTAGCAGTGGAATCCCATGGGCTAGCAATTCAGGAAACTTCCCTTTAGATAATGTTAGACAAAGCCAACTGTTTCCAAGTCACCTTCAACAAAAATATGTGACCAACATGTAGACATTTATATTGCTGTCATTCCAGTTTCGAATTTTAAAACATTAAATCGGTAGTCGGGTTCATTTCCGTGTAGCATGTCGGACTGAGCACAGATACAAAATTTTCAGTAAATTAGAAAAAAATCTCTATAAACAGGAAAAAACGAAAAATTCAGATTTTACAAAATTATTAGTAAACAGCGTTCGAAGTATTTTTAATTTTTTTAGACTAACGTGCGCAGTAATACTGAATCGAAATGCCTTCATATCGCGACTTCTGTTTGGCCAGAGCGACCACCCGCTTGCTCACATATGAGCGCGTCGCGATTCCTCGGATTATCCGGACTTACACGTCCAAGTGTAAAAAGCCCAAGGGAGTGGTCGTAGGTGTCTATTTGAAGGAAGGCGACAAGCCGGCCAAGATGACTGGTAGCGGTATGGCTATGGATGATGCAATGGGCGGCAAGATGGGCCAACTAATCCGGGAGCGCGGCTTAGATGGCACGCCCGGAAAGGGTCTGTTGTTCAGTGGACTAGAGGGCGAATACAATGCTGTTGCCGTAGTGGGAGTGGGCGCGTCAAACGCTTCCTACAATGAGTTGGAGGAGCTTGACGAGGGCATGGAGAATGTGCGCATTGCTGCTGCCACTGGCGCACGAGCTCTGCAGCTGCAACGGATGGATGAGGTTCACGTAGATGGCATGGACTATCCGGAGCAGGCGGCCGAGGGTGCTGCCTTGGCCGTGTGGCGGTACAACGCGAACAAGCGCAAAAAGTACCGCCTGCCCACTCCGAAGCTGGACATGTATGGCAGTGGCGATCACGATGCATGGGTGCGCGGCCTCTTCAAGGCTGAATCACAGAATCTGGCGCGGCGTCTCAGCGACACGCCAGCCAATCAGATGACGCCCTCCATTTTTGCGCAGGCAGCAGTGGACGCGCTCTGTCCCTGCGGCGTCAGCGTGGAGGTGCGCTCCATGGACTGGATCGAGGACATGAATCTGAATTCATTTCTGATGATTGCCAAGGGCTCCTGCGAGCCGCCCCTACTGCTAGAGTGCTCCTACTGCGGCACTTCGCCCGAGGACAAGCCCGTGCTGCTGCTGGGCCAGGGCATCACCTTCAACAGCGGCGGCCTGTGCCTGAAACCCAAGAAGGGCATGGACGTGTACAGGGGCTGCATGGCGGGTGCTGCCGTTTGCGTGGGGGTGTTGCGTGCCGCCGCAGCCCTATCGCTGCCCTTGAACATATCAGCGGTGTTACCTCTATGCGAACACATGCCCTCTGGTATGGCGGTCAAGTGCGGCGATGTGGTCACCCTGCTGAATGGCGTCACCATGGGTATCAAAGATGTCGGCAAGGCGCCTGTGGTCATGCTAGCAGATCCACTGCTCTATGCGCAGGCCACTTACAAGCCGAAGCTGCTCATAGACGTGGGAACGGTGGCGAGAGGCGTGGATCATGGTCTAGGTGGCAGCGCAACTGGTCTGTGGACCAACTCCAAATATGTTTACAATCACTTCCGCAAGGCCGGCGCACTCACGGGCGATCGTGTGTGGCGCATGCCGCTCTTCCGCTACTTCAGAGAGATTGTGACCAAGAACACCACTTACGATCTCAGCAACACCGGACGCGGACCGGCCTCGTCTTGTCTGGCGGCCGCCGTTCTCCATACCTTGGTGCCTTGCATTGACTGGGCACATTTGGATATTCGCGGCACAGGCATGGTGACCAAGATTAATACCTTGCCATATCTGCTGAAGGAACGCATGACCGGCCGTCCCACGCGTACCATCATCCAGTTCATGTACCAGATGGCCTGTGGCCAGAACTAGGGCTTTTTTTGATGGGTCCGCTCATCAACAATCCCAGACGATCAACATCCTCTTGGTAGTTTCATATGTCCTCGTAGTTCAAATGGACTTATGCGCGTTTCCATATTTGAGATCTGTTGCAATCAGTAACTTTGTTTTGGCCCCGCTATGAATAAATGTGGAAATTTGTGCAATCATTGGCGTATTCACTAGAGAATTTTGGTCGGTTACCAACTGCGAGACTATTCACTGACCACAGTTACTAGCTGGTGAACGCACAGATATTTTGCATGCAAAGATACAGATCAGTCAAGCCTTCAATTCGCATAGAGCAGAGAATTTCTTGCATTACATAGAAAGCCATCTTGTTATTACGATTGTCAGCACAGGTTTTGTTGTTTTCAGTTCGATTAATATATTGAAATTAAAAGACAATAATAAGTTGAATAGACTGCCTTATTTTCAGAAAAATAGAAATTTAATCTATTTTTCTTGGTAATACATTTGTTACCGAAGTATATATGTATGTATATAAATATATAAACAATAATACAATTGCCATTTCAATGTCTTCGCTGAATAATAGGAGTGGCGTAGAATTCTACAACGATCAACGGCCTGTGGCCGTGGTTTTTATTTAAATGTTTTTTAAGTTTAATTATATTTTGATTACACTTGCTGAACAAAATGAATTCGCTTAAGTGAAGAATGGCTTCAAAAATTGTCCACTAACGGAAATTTTGTACGCCATCAGCTGTGAACCTCCGAAGTATGACGAATGAAAATTAATATTTCTATTAATATTATTTAGTTGTTAATGAGTTAATATATAAACAAATCAATGCCTAAAATACTTGTTAACTTTTAATGTTTTGATGCCTTGCGTTTAAGTTGAAATGTGTGAATAATTAAATAAAAAATTAAAGAAAATTACACTTTTTCGCTACTGAAAGCTTACTTGCATGAAACCCTTATTCATTTACATTATCTCTTTTCAGGTAATTTCACTTATCCAAAAATACGATTTATAAAATTTTTAGTTGTCTATGCACTTACATCCGCTTCCGATAAGGTTTTCTTGTGTTGGGAAACAGAAGCCGTCAGCCGGTAGCTTACTATTAAGTTTCCATTCCAACATTTTACTTTAAAAGTGAATTTGTCATTAAGCACATATTCATACAAAAGCTAATGTAATTCCAAAAATGAATTATGCTTAAATGCTAAAATATGCTGCAACAATTTGCAACATTTGGGTATTTATTAAATAATATGTAATGTCCAATTTTCAGTGGCAAAAGTTTGTTTATTCAATTTTGAGGCAGCAAGCAATTTCACACGATTCAGGTCGAAGCTTCGCACTAGCTATTAGCATGAACATTTTGGATTGCACATAAATAAAATTCTATAAACGAGTCAATGCATCAACTTGTCGAATGGACAACTTTATGGCAGCTGTGCGTTGGAAAATGCAATGTTTTATAAACTTTCGCACACGCTCACAAATTCTATGCACTTTCAGTTTATTTTGCTCGAACTTATCTGGAAAGTACAGAAGTCACGAAAATGGCACGTTGAACTGGCAACACTTCCTCCTTCAATTTTTGCAATGGCAGTATTAACAAGGATGAAATGTGCATGTAGGGATGCAACCTGTACACACATAAGTAATTTACACATTTTGTTGATTGCCGTCGAATGCTGAAAGTTTTTTCTATAAGTAGAGAAAAATTCCACACCTACTATTGCACACGGCTACTATTTGAACAATAGAATTACAACTATCGAGTGAAGATATTATGACATTTATTAATTTTCTTTTTTTTTCTTTTTTATTCAATTTTGTGTTGCGAATCCATAACGTGACAGTCAGAGTTTTTTTTTAAATACCACACGTACATCTGAAAAATGGGAATACCTTTTATGAAGCTTATTCAATTTCGTAAATGTTGAGCTAAAACTGATTAAATGCCTTTCCAACTAGATTGGATTTTTAAAACTTGAACGGAATTATTGTTGAAAGTGAAGAATAAACGATTAGATTTCTGTATTATTACTAATACAGTTGATTCAAAGGGTTTTTAGGCAGCGCTTTACGAAAACCTTGGCATTTTGATTGCGTTCGGTTTAAAAGTCAATGTGAACAATCACGTCCTATCGTTATTATATCATTATTATTTTAATTGTTGATTTCTCTGATTGTTATTGAAAATCAATTTTTTCAAATTCATAAACAAGAGCCTTGGGTATATTTACTTGCCATGTCTTGCCAATATTAAAGATCTTTTCCCTAGTTGAATCTTAATAAGCTGTAAGCCAGAGTCTCAGCTAATATTGTAAATGTCGAAGCTTAAGCAAACATTTCATTATTTTCGCTGGTAATTTGTTACACTTGGCTCATTTCCTTCTCACACACTCCCCTCTGCTCACGATTTAGCTCTCGCGTTTTCCCACTCCTTGACTGTCTGCCATTTTCAATTACGCGTTGCTCGAGTCTGAGTCATGCCAGTGCCTCTTCTATGTCTTTATGCGGATATATGTATACATGTACGTGCAGGTGTTGATTGAAGCGCAAATCAAATTTACCGACATAAACGTTTTCAGCGACACCTTCAAACGCAAGACGCACAAAAGTATGCTATGCAAAGTGTTGGGAGCACGCGCTGGCAAGTGTGTGCGTGTGTGTGTGTGTGTGTGTGTATGTGCAGATGGTGGATGGGGATGGATAGAGGGGGTAGAGGCTTAGCTTAGCAGCGGCTGGAATTGCTATTTTCAATTTCGTACTATATAAATGTTGTCTGATTAGTTTGGCATCAACTGATTTGCCCACATTTGACAGCGTGTCTTAAGTTTTTTTTTTCCGAGTCGAGACCAGATGTGTGTCTACTCTTTGACACGACAGCTGCAGCTTATGCCAGCTTTCAGTTCATCAAATCGGCAAAGCTGACGAATGGCAAAACATCAAACCGTCAATTCGCACGCGCCTTCCTATCCCTTTGTATTTTCAACCTATCTGATTTATGCTTTGATCTTGCCGAGAAAATCAAAATACATACGACTATAGTAAAACGTCTGAGGCCATTGCAATGCCTTCGACTTTATTGTTGGAGACATTTATGCAATCAAATTTGTGGCATTTATGCATTGTTGACTCAAGCGCATGTGTCCTATTTCCATGTTGATTTAGTTGACCATAACATAACATTACTTCCAATTACGGCTTTCAGCTTTGCAGCTGCAGCAGTTACGAGTACAGCTGCAGCTCTACATAAATGCCAAATGCTTCAATCAATATTTAATTTGCCACGACCAGGTTAGGTAGAGCATTGGTCAAATATACGCCATTTGTTTGCACAATGAGCAGCATTTTGACTGCCAACATTTGCAGAGCCCACCAGCAGCCCAACGTCATGGCCACTAATTTCCAAGCCAGCCATGTTTGTCTGCTCACGAAATGCCTGTAACTCTCACTATGTACCGACAACATATGTATGTGTGTGTGCCTGTGTGTGTTTGCTTGTGTGCAAAATCAAATTTAATCTTGCTTTCAAATGTCAAATTGCAAACTGCTTGATTGCATATTTGTACCTCAAGCCCTTCACATCAGCTGCCAACTGCAAGTGGCAATTGCATTGTGGAGTGAGGGCCTGACACATTGTTTTATTTATATAATGATATCGCAGCCTGATCCTTGCTACGAGTATTTTTATGGCAGTTCCTCTTACGACTGCAACTCAACTTGCAGCTAGCAATTGGCATCAGGGCATCGAGAGCCTTGTTTCAAATTCATTTGCTACTTTGATTAATTAATGCTAATTTACGAAAATTCAGTTTTGCCATTAGCCCACACTGCCTCTTTGCGATTAAATAATGTATGTGTGTGTGTGCTTAATTTACTGCTTTTGTGGCAACACAAAATCCTATCGCTGTGCACAGCCTCTATCCTGAATACGCAGCCAACAATTTCCTAGCCACTTAAGCATCTTCCAGTGTCAAGTGGTAAGTGGCAAATGGCATGGGGTTCAACAACAACACCCATTATACAAATAAACAGTCGTCAGTTGTGTGTGCTGAAAATTTTTTGGTAATTGTTTACCATTGATGGTCTACTGTCTTCTTGTCCTTCATATTATAATTGTTGCAATTCAAATTTAATTCCTGCACTAGCTATCTGGCGTTTCACTTATTTCTCGTTTTCGTCATCTCTAAACATAAACAGCTAACAACTAAATGCCAATATGTAGCCTATTTATTTATAATGTATGCATAATTCTATAGACCTCAAGGCCTTTGAAAATGTCTACAGACGTTACGACTTACTATATAGCAGCATATGTTTCATAAAAAGTAAGCCTGCCTTTAGAAGTATTAATTAATTTAAATTGCACAATTACAATGCCAAAACTTAGCTACAACACTGCCAAGCCAATTTAAAAACCACATATTTGTGCACATACAGACAACAGCTTGAATGCAGTCCAATTGCCAAGGACACCAATTTAACACTCCAGCTGCGAAATTGCACACCAAATGCATATTCAAAAACAATGAAGTACGTCTTAAATTTTGTTAAATCAGTGCTGCCATTGCCATTTAGACAAAGTGCAGAAAGCAGCTTGTGGTTGCATCAAGAGTCCTGGACAAATTTTCGCACATTCATTATCCAGCCTACCTTCGATGCGGTCTACGATAATCGTATAACAAGAAAACGCACCAGGCCGTAAATAAATTGGCCAAAACGTCGCTCTCCGCACGTGTGAATTATTATACTAACTAATTGCGCAAATGCAAATGCATAATTTTCAGGCAGCGCCTAAAATGTGAGATTCAGGCTGATAATGTTGCCGCTTGGCTGGCCAGGTGTGCCAAAGTTCGGGAAAATTGCAGTTGGCCGTTAAGTTGGGACTAAACTTTTCCAGATTTAGTGCCCGCCACTTGAGGAACAGACAGGTATTCCCACAGCACCTAGAAATTTTCGATGCAGCAAATTTCCAGGTGCCATTAATTTGGCTATGACAACAAAATATGCTCCAATGGGGAAGCGTTGGTGGCATTGCTTCGCTATGAGAGAGGGAATTGAAGAAATATAGAAATGTCTATTTATATTATTTCCCTAAAATTAATAAAACTACAAGTATGTGCGATAGTTAGGATAGTTAAGAAATATTTACAAAATCCTAAACACGTATCTGCAGGG